AAATCGCCACAAAATCCGACAAGTTACTTCTCTCTAATCCTCAATTTCTTCATCTATACATGGAGACTGTAACACCTGCCTCACAGAGTTGTTATAAAGATTAAATAACACAATGTCAGTAGAATTCTGAGCACAGGAGAATAACTGACAGGTTTTCTTTTAATGTGACGATAGACCTCCATAAAATAATAAAAAGTTTATTTATTCAACCGTTCAATAAATATTTGTTGAGACTCTTTTAGGCTTTAGGCAGTGGGATACAGTGGTGAACACAACAGACAAAACCCCCTACTTTGATGGAGCTTCTAGCTGGGGAGAAGGGCGATCAACAAAGAAATATAAATGGATCATGTAACGTCAGGGAGTCTAAATGGTAGCAGGGAAAATACAGTAAGGTAAAGGAATAGAGAATGGGGTGTGAATAGGTGCTATTTGGATGGGGTGATCAGGAAAGGTCTATGGGCAGAATGAAGAGAGTGGAACATCTGGAGGAAGCAATGGAGTTCTTGGGTGGAGAGAATAGTCCATGCAAAGGTCCTGCAGTGGGAGAATACATGGCGTGTTCAAGAAATGGCAGATGCTAGTATCATGGGGGCAGAGGGAGCCAAGGAAAATAAGTTAGAAATAAGATGAGAGAGGCAGCCAGATCATTTGCATCTTCCCATCACTAAAAAGTCGGTTTCTCTTCTACCATTTGCAAATGTTTGTCCAGCACATCACACTAAATCAGAGGTGCCAATCACGGAGTGAAGTCCAGCACGTGCCTTCCGATGTTAGTAAACTCTTTCTGGCTTCTAAGACTTAAAGATATCAGGAGACACCGCTGCCACATAGTTGTAGCAGGACACACCTCAAAATGGAGTGTCCTGGGCAACTTGCCTTTTCCCTGCCGGCCACAGGAAGTATCTTTCAATCCTCAGTGGTCATTCCAAACCAGTCCTCTAATTGCCTTTGCCCAGGTCTGTGGGAGTCACTCAGACATGTTTGAAGTTTCAGAGTCAGTCACATTCTGAGTCACCTCCTCATTCTAGGGGAGGCGGCCAGGAAGCAGCCAGGTCTTGGGTGGGGGAGGTTTTGATTTAGTGCTGTTGGACTCTCTTACACAGCCTGCCCCAACCCGTAGGTTACCCTATCGTTCCCCTTCAGGCTAGGGGTCGTCGCCATGTTCTTTAGAAAGTCACCCCAACCACCACCCGATCCTTCCCTCCCCCAGTGGAGGTTGTTCCTTGTCACTTATCACAACAGAAGATTCCTTTTACATCCCACACCTCTGAGAAGCATGTTCTGGCTACAGCCTCTGATGTCGGAAACAAATGCACCCCCATGCTTGTTTTATTTTCCAGCCACCTCTGAACTTGTAACTGGTCTGGAAAGCTATCCATTTTTTAACACCATGAGTCTGCATTGCATTATTATTGGCCAACAGCTTCATCTAGGTGTTTAAATTATACTGAATAAAACCAACCAAACAAACAAAAAAAGCCCACCAAGCCCAGAACCAAGGCTAAAAGAAAACCAAACTGATGGATTGCCACCTATCGGGGCTTTATTTAAATTTAGCATCTAGGACTACTAGAAGGAGAAGAGTCAGTGGCCCATAAGATTGGAATTCAGCTTTCTCAGGCTTTTCCTTCAAATAAGATACAGGTTCAGTGGGGCAGTGCAGTTACAAATATTACCAACCAGTGACAATGTGAGCAAAAGGGTCACATCTGGACTGTCCTCTTTAGTTTGAACAACTGTCATTATGAGAAGGAAAAGACAGACCCCAGCTCCAAATAGTTTTCTTCTGAAGTTTGTGAGAAAGGACTTTAAAAAAAATATATATATTGGAGAGGGCCATCTCTTGATTTTTTAAGTCAGAAATGTCCTGCCTGACTTGACTTCTTACAATAGCATCACTTTATTTCCTATGAATAATGATTTTAAGAATCCACTTAGAATTTCTTCTTTTTTTTTTTTTTAGAGACAGGGTCACTCGGTCACCCAAGCTGGAGTGCAGTGGCATGATCATGGGTGACTGTAGCCTTAAACTCCTGGGTTCAAGCCATCCTCCCACCTAGGCTTATTTTATGATATTTTCTGTAAGCCAGTGGATCTGAATTGGGGGGAGGGACAGGCATAATGGAATTACTTGGGAAGTGTTTTCAAAACATACCTGCCCAGTATACCAACAGGAGTCTAGAAAAACGAACTGTGACATGTTCGCATGATGAAATCTACTCTGCAATAAAAAGGAATAGACTCCTGATACATTCAGTAACATGAATCTCAGAACATTAAAGAAGTCAGATCCCATCATATATTATATATATATATATATAGAAATATTATATGATCCCATTTATATGAAGTTTGAGAATTAGCAAAACAAATCTATAATGGTAGAAATTAGCAAGGAGGGGCTAAAGTCACACAGGGGAATTTCTCAAAGTGATGAGACATTTTCTGTCTCCTGACCTGTTGGTCAAATGGACATATACATATGAAAGAGTCCTCAAGCTGTATGTACACTCAAGATTTGTTTTTACTGAATGTGAATAGTATCTCAATAAAACATTGTCTAAAAATATTATACATACATACCCCCCAACTCATCTCTACCCTAGCCTCGGGGAATAAGATATAGGAGCAGGGGATTCAGAGAGGATGAGTGTTTTGAAAAAGCTCCCCACTTCCCTCCAATACTCTAAGCTGCCAAATATTCTTTTAGGATTGGAATTAGGCTGGCAATAGATAAGGGCTGTCCAGAAAGTATCCAGCCACATACCCATTCTTATTATATTAACAATGGCTGGATACTTTCCAGACAGCCCCAGTATATAAATATAACTTTCAAATTTGCAGAAAGCCCCTAGACATCATCAAAGTTTTCTTAACAAAGCCTGCTTACTTTCCAGTTTGCTTTGATTGGAGACCTTGTTCTTTCAGTGATTTCGATGTCTTTGAAGGTATAAAATACATTAATGAGAGGAACATACTGGGTGGGGGTGGGAGGAGTCGTGGAGGCCCAAGAGATTCTGGTATTTATAGTTTGAGTCAGGCTTAGAAGTCCAAATATTGCTTTGGGAAATTTAACATCGACAAGTTCCTAAAATTGCAAAGCTTTAAAGTAAACGAGTAGTGATGCGTTCAGGGCCAATCTCATTAACCAAACTCCTGTTCACCCTGATGCAGAGAAAGGGGAATTAAGTGTGACACAGACTTAGGAAACAGGTTGCTTTTTTCTTTTTTGAAAGAAACTTGTGACTAGCTTTTATATATTTATCCAGAGAATGTAAGCTTTTTTTTTTTTTTAAACCTCAAGTTGTACCTTCTATTTAAAAACATATTTGTATTGCCTTACTGTGATCTGTTCTAAAGAAAAAGACATGTGGCTGGGCACATGCACTTTATAGGCTTTAAATTAATAATGTATTCTTTTCTTCTTATAAGTAAAATTACTCAAATTTTAAAAACGAGTCCACATGGTTAGTGCTAAATTTTAGCGTTACTTACCATTGAAGACTCAGTGACATTCCTTGGGGTTTCAACATTCATTTTGATCCGAAGGCAATGCGAAAACAGACCTCTCCCTGCAACATGGGCTGTTTTCATTGGCTTTATCGCTTAGCTTCCTCCACAGGCATGCCATCTGTCTGGAGGAGTTTATGCTCATGCAAGTTCAGACCTGGGCAAGCCCTCAGAGATGAACTAACCCAACCAAACTCGGTCTGCTGTCACACTCCAATTAAAAAATAAACTCTGGCTTAGAGGCGAAGTGGCTTGCTCAGGATCACATGGCTAATCAGAGGCAGAACTGGAATTCTCATGTCTGCATGCAAGTCCTTTGCCCCTTCTTCTGTGCCACGACAGCCTCAGGGTCCTGTGTCGTGTTTGGTATCATAGTGACTTTAGAGCAGGCGTCCTCAAACTACGGCCCACGGGCCACATGCACGTTCTTGCCCATTTGTTTTTTTACTTCAAAATAATGTATGTGCAGTGTGCATAGGAGTTTGTTCATAGTTTTTTTAAAACTATAGTCCGGCCCTCCAACGGTCTGAGGGACAGTGAACTGGCCCCCTGTTTAAAAAGTTTGAGGACCCCTGCTTTAGAGCAACAATATACACATGTTACCACCTTTCCACCTCAAAAGACACCAAGAGGGCTCCCACCTAGTGGGAAAGAGCAGAAGCCTGAGTTTTATTACATTGAGAACCTGAAGGCATTTTTTTATCTTTACTCCTAATCCAGTTTTGGTCATATCTCAAAGAGATTAAGAGCATGCACTTTGGACTGGACAGACTACAGCCCATTATCATATCTTACTAGCTGCATGACCCTTGGTGAGATACATAATTTCTTCATGCCTCACTTTCTTCATCTAGGAATGGGGATGATACAGGAGCTCAAAGAGTGTTTAACACACTTCCTGGAACACAGTAAGGCGATACCTAGTGTTTTCTTTGGGAAACCAGCAAGTCCGCACAGCGATTTCCTTTCCGCCTTTTCCCCCCATCCCCTTCGCATTGTACTTAGCGTCTTTAATTCTTTTATTTTGTTGTTTTAATTTTGTTTTTATTTTGAGATAGAGTCTGGCTCTATTTTGAGACAGAGTTTGGCAAATCCTCAGAGAAGTCAGTCCCTACAGATTTGCACGTGGTGGGCACAATAAGGGTTTGCTTTTTGGTTTTGAGTTCTCTTTTCCAAAAGGCGGGAAATTTGGGGGCTAGAGTGCCCTGGCGTCAGCCTAGCTCACAGCAACCTCAAAACTCCTGGGCTCAAGCGATTCTCCTGTCTCAGCCTCCCAGGTAGCTGGGACTACAGGCATGCGCCATCATGCCCGGCTAATTTTTCTTTTTCGTATTTGTATATATTTTTAGCTGTCCAATTAACTTCTTTCTATTTTTGGTAGAGATAGGGGGGTCTCACTCTTGCTCAGGCTGGTCTCAAACTCCTGATCTTGAGCAATCCACCAGCCTTGGCCTCCCAGAGTGCTAGGATTACAGGTGTGAGCCACCATGCCCAGCCAGCGTCTTCAATTCTTTACGGTTCTGGAGTTTGGCAAATGCTCAGAGAAGTCAGTCCCTACAGATTTGCACGTGGTGGGCACAATAAGGGTTTGCTTTTTGGTTTCAAGTTCTCTTCTCCAAAAGGCGGGAAATTTTTGCACGAGTTGTCGGAGACTGCTGTAATTTGGAATAATCCCTTCTGTGACAATGACTTCAAGGCCCCTTTTCAACCCAAGAACGCTTGGAAGGACTAGACTTGAGTCCTGGTGGGATATTAGATGCCAAGACTTGCTTGTAGCAATGCAAAGGCCAGCAGAAATGCAGGCAAAGCCTTGAACTTTACAGCTACAGAAACCTAGATCTCAGGGGCTGAGATACTTCTCAATCACTCCTCGGTCAGTAGCAGGGCAGGGCCTAAAACTCAGGTTCCCTTGCCTGGCTTCCAGCTTTTTCCATTGTACCAGTACCAGCTGCGACTCATTAACTCCACCTCCAAAAGTGCTGAGGAAGTTCCCTACCCAGGCAGGGTGGGGCGATCCTGTGGCATGGAACAAACCGGGAAAACGGCGGATTCCAACTCTCAGCACACACTGGCGGCGTTTGCCATTCCTTGCGGGGAGGGGAGGAATGGGGGTGCGGGGGGAGGGATGAGGGGGGAAGGGTGCTCAGACACTAGGTCCAGTACCTGCAGGTCTGGGCGTTCTGGGGAGAGAGAATCTGAGGCGGCGAGGCCACCTTACTTTCTCCTGGTCTGTCTTGCCCTGTGTGGTGGCTGCACAGGAGTGTCCTGCTTGGAGGGTCCCGCAACATAAGTGGCCTGTCCTTGCGCTAGGTCGGAGTGGGCGAGGTCCTCGGAAATCTAGGTGGGATTTTCCTTTCCTTCCCGCAGTCTGCCCCAGGGCGCGAGCCGCGCAGGCTTGAGCTGGCTGCGGTCGCTTCGCCTTTACTCCCACCACGGCTCCTACTGCGGGGACTTTCATCCCGTCTCCCGTCCTCAGCTCCCACCTTTTAAAACATTTTTCAAAGCTACCCCACTAAAAGTGCGCGACTTCTCCCGGGCCTGCAGAAGGGGCTCCCGCAGCCCGGCATTCCTCAGATTCCAGCGCCGTGACGTCCCCGAGGACCGCGCGCCCGCAGCCCCGGAGCTCGGGCTCCACGTCTCCGCGCGCGTCCCCGCGCCCCCCCCGGCGGGCGCGCGCCCTCCCGGCCGCATTCCTCGCCCCGGCGCGCCCCGCGCTGCCCCGCTCCGGCCAGCGCCGGCGAGCCCGGCCCGGGGGTGGGGGAGCGCGGCCGCCGGCGCCTGCTCCGTCCCCTCCCACCCGCACGGCCCCTTCCTCCCTCCTCTCCCCGCCGCTCGCATTTCCTGCCGCTCTGGCTCTCCCGGCCCCTCGAAGTTCGTCCCAACTTTCTCTCGGCCGGGCGAGCGCGGCCGGCGCAGTCGCGGGGACAGGGCGCTGCGCCCCTGCGCGCTCGGCTGCCGCCTCCGCGGGCGCGCGTCCTCCGGGAGCAGCACACGCAGAGTGGCCGCTGGCGGTCCTCCCGCGCCCACCTCTCCCGGCCTCCCGGGCCCGGCGCCCCTCGGGCGGGACACGCCGGTGCTTAGGTGCTTCCCCGCGTCCCCTCCGGGGCGCCCCTGCGCCGCCTCCCGCGCCGCGGTCGCGGCGGAAACCTCCCTCCCCTCTCGCCTCCGCCGGCTCCTGCCCTCCGCCCCTGCGCCGCCAGCCACTGCAGCCGGTCCCGTGGGGACCTGGGGCTCCGCGGCCGCGCAGGACCACCTTTCCGCGCGGGGCTCCGGGACGCGACGGGGGCCATGTGAGCAGGTAAGCCCCGTCCGCCGCGGCGGAGCCGGGCCCGAGGCCGGGGCCGCCCGGGCGCCTCGCGGACGGCTCGGGCAGGCGCTGGCAGCGCCAACTTGCAGTCGGCGGCCCGGGACGCCTGGCAGGGCGCCGGGGCGCGGGGTGGCCGGGCCGCTGGGGTGCTCTTGCTCCGGGGAGCTGCCCGCGGGGAGGCGCGCGGCTCGTCCGGGTCGCGAGCCGGGACGTGAGCGCTGTCTGGGGAGTTTGTGCTTAAACTCACACCCTCGCCCCCTTCTCCCCGTTCCCTCCTGCGCTTGGGGACCGAGAGAGGGCCGGGAAAGGGCAGCTTGGAGATACCTAGACCGTGGGAGCAAGGAGGATGAAAGAGGAACGACGTTTTGGTCACTGCAGCGCGGTGGCGGGGATGCAACTCCCGGACGCCCCGTCTGCACCCCAAGGGGACAGGATCCTGGGAGGGTCGGAGTTTTCCTGCCCTCCCTCTAGGCCCCAGCCGAGCCACCGAACTCCTGGGCGTCTAGGCTCCTACTTGGGTGGTCGAGCTGGTTCCTGGGGGAAAAGCTGTGGTCACATAATTTCAGACCAGGTCCCCACCTCCAACTTTAAAAAGTTCTGAGCATTAACAGCCTCCACGTGACCCCCACATCTCGGATTTGAATACTTGGAAGTAGGTTTTTCACCTTCTCTTCTGGAGGGAACAGCGAGGTGGCTCTGTCCCCATCTCCTCTCCCTCACTTCCTTCGGTTCCTGTCACCCTCCCCTATCCCCACCTACAATTTACAGAGATTGTAGGGTTTTGACTTCAGTTTGTCGGAGGGACTGCCTGTTACAGGCTTTTGGTGAAGGTGAGGAATCTCTAAACTGCGGGCCGCATCCTGCGGTCACAGAGTTTCCACCGTTGTGCTAAGTTCTTGAAATGGATTGGTTCGCTCATGGTGAGGAAATCTCTAAACTGCAGGCGGCATCCTACAGTTAACAACAGAGTTTCCACCGATGTGTTCATTTCTTGAAATGCATTGGTTCACTCATTCATTCGACAGACCCAGCGTTGAGCTTCTGCTCTGCTAGGAACAGGGGCTGATAGAAAGATGCTAAAACAAGATCACAGTGCAGGAGTCCACAGCCTCGTGGAGGAAACCCAAAGGCTGATCAAGAATTACTTGCAGTGGAAGAGGGCTTCTTTGAGAGCCTCGGGAAGACCTGGTCCTGGAGGTGAGCTGTGCACTGGACTTACAGGGTCGATTCAGGTGGTGCTCACCTAGAGGAGTGATTAGCAGAGTGTCTTTTAGGTAGAGCAAAACAGCTGGTGCAAAGTGAGTGCAGAAAAGGAGAGAAAGTTTGTACCTAGCTATCAGGGGGCCAGGGGGAGATTTATGGCCAGGTTGGTGCAGGGTTGGTAACCCTAACCCCTCCCCACCATCAGAAATTACCCCTTCTCCCCCCATCAGAAATTAATCTAGAAGTGTATTACCCACTTATGTGAACCACAGGTAGCTTCCAGAGGAGCAAATGTCTCCCTTTTTGGACACACCTCAGTGCCTGATGCTGTTTCTTCCACAAGCAACTGTGTTGTGTGATTATCTAAATTTTAATCGGCCCATGCTGGGTTTCATTAAAATAGTATTGATTCCTTTTTCAAGAGCTTCTTGACAGCAGTAGGTGATGATAATACCACAGCCTCACTGACTTTGCATTAGAAAGTTATCAAATAGTGATGGGGTTAAAAGCTTGTGGCATAGAAATGACACCTTGAATAGCCCTTTTGCCTAATCTGAATGGGTGGCCATGATGTGCAGAACTGGTTTATTTGTGTGTCACTATGTTTTTTTAGGGTATTCTCTACTTTTAAAAGTCATTATTATTGCTTTAGCAGGGTAGTAAGGAATGGTGGTCCTTTCTCTGAGACTTTATGAAAACCGGGTGTATACTGCATCTTCTTGCAGCTCGTTGTAGCCTAATGGCCCAGGATTCAGCAAACCCTGCCTAGAAAAGTTCCTTATAGCACAGCAGCGTTTTGTGTTATACCCAGTTTGCCTTTCAAGGGTGCCTCTTCGCTGTGCTGAAGTGGCGTTGTAGTATTGTTCATAGTGGCTGAGTCTTGGCTGAGGTGGCAGGTGTCCAGCTTTTTGTGACCTCAGGCCAGTATATCAGAGTGGGAAGAACACACTGACTTCCTACAACTTTCGAGTATTTATCCAAGCCCCCTACTGGCATCTTATCTCAAGAACAGCCCCTTGACAGCAGTTTTCCTGAAGTTACAGGACCTGCATGAGAGAAATGGCTGGAGAGAAGCCCTTTCCTGGTAATCCCAGGTAGTTTCCGTCATTGGCTTAAATACATAATTATTATTAACGCTAAAGTAATTCAGGCTTGTGCATACTCTGTCCTGTGGACAGCTCTCATAGGACAAACATGGAGACTATTTTAATATGGAAGAATCATAAAGAATTCAGAGAAAAAAAAATCAGAATTTTTAGAATAATTCTTACTTGCCTTGAGTGGATGAGCCAGATGTCAAGAATTAAGAGAATTTTTATTTTGACCCAATGCCTGCCTGCCTTATTAGGAGTTTAAATTTTCTCCACAGGCGGGTCTCGGTGGCTCATGCCTGTAATCCTAGCACTCTGGGAGGCAGAGGTGCTCTGATTGTTTGAGCTCAGGAGTTCGAGACCAGCCTGAGCAAGAGTGAGACCTGGTCTCTACTAAAAATAGAAAGAAATTAATTGGACAGCTAAACATATAGAAAAAATTAGCTGGGCATGGTAGTACATGCCTGTAGTCCCAGCTACTCGGGAGGCTGAGGCAGGAGGATCGCTTGAGCCCAGGAGTTTGAGGTTGCTGTGAGCTAGGCTGACGCCACGGCACTCTAGCCCGGGCAAAAGTGAGATTCTGTCTCAAATAAATAAATAAATAAATAAATTTTCTTCAGAGACGGAAACATCAACCCTTTGATTGCATATTACAGCCTTCCTGGGTTCTATACACTTGTCCTTTTTGAAGGAGAATTTGATCAGCTTCTTGTATTTGAACCTACTTAGTCACCAAGTGCTGTGTGTTTTTAAAATTCATTCTAAACCTCAAATCAGCACTGTGCACTTTGTTAGAGATAAGGCAGGGGAAAGAGATAAGATGTAATACTTAATTAACCAATTAAGGAATGAGGGAAAAACAAACACAAAAGCTTTGGTAAGGAAAGAGTTTCCAAGTTAATGCCTAAAATAAGCTGTTGATCTCCCCTTACTGATTTTATTTAAATTGATTTAATTTATCTTGCCCCTGTCCGTGTCCTATGGAATGCTCGAGTGGTCAGACAGGGGTGTGTAGCAAATCCTGTGGCTTTTCCTGGCTGCCAGTATGTAGCAGCAGGGGACCAGATTTGAGAGTTTGAAATATAGCTAGGTTTGAATTCCAGGCTTGCCATTTTTTTTTTTTTAGTTGTGTGATGTTGGATGAACTTTTTAGACTTTCGGAGCCTCAATTTTTTCATCTGCAAGGTGGAGCCAGTAGCATCTAGCCTGCTGGGATATTTATGGAGAATTCCGTGTAGTGTGGTATACAGCACTTCACCCAGCGTAGGTGGAGGGTGGCCATTTATATGTTCAAGGAGTTGTATGTGGCCATGAATGTGCTCTTTGTGTGTTATTTTTTTTTTCCAGCAGCCTGAATTCGCATGTGTGCCAACATACACATAAAGCTTTGTCTTTGACTTTTTTTTTTTTTTTAAGTCTACTGGCTCAAAGCAAACATGTTAGCTGGCAGCTGCCATGTGACCCTTTACACAGGGAGGCTGAGAGTTACATGACCAGGCAGTAGGGAAGTTTGGGGAGAGAAAGCCACCCTTAGAGAAAAACGCAGAGAAAAAGATCTTTTTCCTTGTATGTTTCTTCTTACAATCAGGGTCCAGTGTATTTATATAAAGATCCTTGTATTTTTAATGTTGAAATCTGGTAATGTTAGGCTAACTCTGCCTGCCTTTAATGAGAGTGCAAAAACTAGCTGATGTATCTTTACAGCGTTTATTTCCTTCTTTGAACCCCAAATATAAAGAGTCAACTGCAACATCTCTAGTGTAATGCCAGCCACTGGTTGCTTGAACTTTAATGTTGCCTTTCATCTGAGAAGTCTAAGGTATCTGACAAACATTAACTCATTGATCTTCACATCAACCTTGGGGAGGGGGGATGTTAGAAGAAAGGGACAACTCAAAGAAGGACAGGTGTGTAATAGGTATTCTTGAAGCAGAATGAATGGCTAAGAATTAGTTAAATCTTGCATGCAGGATTGCAGGTAGGCCTGAGGTCATTTGAGGGTACTCTACCCCTTTGCAGGGTCAGGGGAAGAAAGCCTAGGAAAAATGCAGCTCTGACTGGGATTTTTACAGTGGAAGGAAAGAGGAAATGCATTTTGACCAGACCAGCAATGCCTTTGCCATACATTGCATGCATGCAGATTATGAAAATAAATAATCTTGGAATTATTTATAATTCTGAATTAAAGGGTATGATGCAGTGCTTGTGGATGAAGGAGGATAAAAGGTAACTGTGACTAAGTGCCTTTTTGTGTGATAAGGGTGGTTATGGGTCTAGGTTGGATTATAAACGATGTATTAGCATTGTTTTAATTTCCTCATTTTCTTCCGGTTGCTTCTCTATTTCTTGACTTTCTCCCTGCTGTCAAGCTTTTGTTTGATTTTCTTCATTGTTCTTGCTATTGGGGAAAAAACATAGCCATTCTGAGATCAATCTTACATGTAAAATCGGATATGTGAGTGATTTGGCTCAGTTTCTTAGGGGGCTCAGTTAGGCCTAGGTCAAGAGTTTCATCTTGAGCCTGGTCAATTAGCTTGACCCGGAGGACTATTGCATATCTGGAGAGCCTGTAACCCTAGTTGGCCATCCCATAAATGCTTGATGTTAGTCGATGGGGAGGACTCTGCTGAGAAAATGAGATACAGATGGATCCTTTGGTGTTGTAGAATCCTTTAAGTAGTAGAATATCCCCTTTGC